TTTTTTTTAAATAAAGAACTTACAATCATAGTTATTAAAGACTATTTTAAAACCCACACAGGCATCCGAACAACTGGACCTGCGAAAGTCTCACTGCATCATCACTAACACTCTCAGTAAGTCCGATGTGTCGAAGTGTGTCCCCCTTCAAATGTTTCCCTCTTTGGAATGTGTAAATCTATTAAAATAAAGCAACATGTCTTACCCACATGTCTTCTTAATCCACTAATCAGTCCTTAGCACTGTCAGTCAGTGTGCACTGCCTATAAAAGAGGAGACACGCTGGCACCAGAGCCGGATGCTCTCGTGGTCCAGGTGCGTTGAAGTCGCGTGCGTCCTAGGAGTCGGCTCCAGGTGAGAACTTATCGACCGCCTGTTGACTTGTCCAAGTAGAAATTCACCATTACATTAAAGGTGGCGCCATTCAAAGAAATGTGATGCATTAATGACTGATTTTATAAGTTATATTTATTGAACAAGACAGACTGTTGAAAAAGGTCTCAAGTTATTGTCACTTTACATTTTTCCATGATTGTCATCACACTGAAAGTTTCACTTCTCCACCAACTAAACACTTAAAACAAGATTAAGATTAGAAGTTTGTCTGCATGCTTGAAGAAATAACGTTGAGCTGGTTGATAATTTTAATTTTAACAATTGTAAAACATTCTATATATTCAATCAACATATTAAGTGTTACCATCTTTCCACAGGTGGTTCATCTTCCATGCCCATGTAGTAGCTTATAATATGAAATATGATTATCACTGCATATTATTATCTTTGTGTATACCCTTTGTGTCAGTAAATGCAAGTTGGTTCCCGGTGAAACTGTAATACATAACAGCTAAATCAGCAAAAACAAACACTGGCTGAAGCAAAATATCATTTTTTTTTAATTCAAAGTGAATCGAGACATAGTACACCATCAATTCATAATTTGACACTCACCAATAAGAGTTACCAAGAATGAACCCACTTTTTGTGACATAAGGCTTGATCACAATGAAAGTCACTGAGAACTAGAGGGGGAAAAAGAAAATGACTGCAAACTGGTAAGACACACATCATTACATCCAAATGACAATCTTTTCCCCAGTCCTCATATTATTGTATATTGCACAGTGCAGTTGCTACATGTGAAACTAGTGTAGCGTCAAAGAAAAATCATAAAGCCACAAAAATCTACACAGAACAGCAAGTTTCAATTTAGCAATCATGTCTACATAGAGTATTTATGTCTAAATACATAAGTGTCAACCCAATGATTAGATAACTGTGATACAGAATCTACCAAAACATCTTAGGGAGTTGAATTTCACACAGTTTATTTTTCAGCCCAGTGCTCAGATGTGATGTTGAGACCCATGTTTGGCCAGTTGGTACTTATGACATGGTGGCCCGATATAAGCAGGCCAGAGAACACAAAGTATCTGAAAGCGAGTACAGCATTTGAAATGTTGATAAAACCAAATAACTCATTTGCTGCTTATTGCCAGTGTTTTAAGCAGTACTGGTTTTTAATGCCTAATCAAGGAATTTACACAAAAACATTTTAGAAATATTCAAACAGTCCCCAGGCCTGCCTTGCTGCTTAAGGCTGCTGCATGTGTTTGTTGAGCTTTGGACTTGGGATTGTGTGATCCTGTGGTGACAGACTATGCATCCTAAGCAATCAACCCAAAGTGGTGGGGGGTTGTGATGTGGTACATCACTGAGGTGGTGCATTATTCATCCCATTTCAGTTACTGAGCTGACAAAAGAACAGGTATATGGGGGAATCAATAAGAAAATGCACATCACAGGGGTCAAAAATAAATCTTCATCCTTGAAGTGAAGTACAAATTACATGTTTCGGCTGCACTCAAAAATGAACAGTGCATCCTCTCACTGAAGGGTCATCAAAATGCTAAGATATTAGATGGATACACAAAATACACCTATTACTTAAAGAGCCCATGGCATGCTTTTCCTTGTTTTTGTTTTTTTACTTATCTACAATGTTACAACGGTGAATTATCATCTTGGATGTGACCTAAAGCTCAAAAAATGAGGTATACATATGTTTTAGCATTTCTATGCAGAAGCAACTCTGTTCAGACACATCTCGCAAACTTTTGCTCACAAGGCTTTTATTCTACCAAAATAAAGTATTATGTGATAATTTAAGGATTTCCTCAAATGGTCATAATCTCCAGGCTGTTGTGCGTTCATGTGAGCTTGCCTGACATCCACTGTCATCCCTTCCACATTGGCACATTATTTTACCTTATGTATGTTTTCAATAAAGCTTCTTTTGATAAAAAAATAAAAATAGACATCCACCGGTGCCATTGTAGAATCAGAATTTTTGACTGCCCTAGGTTTTGTGGATACATTTTACCTCCTGCTGCTGCACTGTGACCAGAGGATGTGGAGAAAAATGCAGGGCCTGAGGTTACTGCATGTCCAGGAATGCTCCTGTGCAGGGACTCACTGTTTTACCTGACCGGGTCTAGCCTACAAGCAGTTGGCCTGTGAGGCCCCCGCAGAGGTTAGTCATCAGCTGATCAAGGCTGGACTCCCCCAGAGCACAGTACCTGTTTGTTTTGACTGCTTGAGGCCAGTGTGTCTGCTGCGTGTGATGTGTTGCTGGTTAATGAGCGGATTAACAATCCATGATGTTATTGTCGGCGCTACGCTACCTGTTAGAATTAATTTCATTACTGTGGGACTGTATGTGGTCGTGTGGGGAAAGATGCAGCGACCACTTGTTGGATTTACTGACCTTGGAGCAACTTGAAAAGGGAGTGATATTTCCACTACTCAGTGGGACTTAATGGTAAGTTAAAAAAAACAAACAAACACATGTTGCATGCCTTGTTTTTGTAACGTTAGAGAATTGTTGTAAGGCTGGAGAAGTTACCATGTCTGTATTATGCCAGTTAACATATGGGGTTTCTCAATTACCCGCTTTGTTTAGTGTGTTACACATCTCTTTTCAACGGTACATATACCGCTGTTTACCTATCCACGGAGGTACAACATAATACAATGAGTAGATGAAGATGAGACAACTTTGGACCTAAACTTTGACTATGATTGACAGATAAAGCATTTTGAAAGTACCCCTGACTGAAATACATCATGATATCTACATATGGTAATAGCTGCATACAAGAACTACCACCATGCTAATCACAAAATGAGAGAAAATGCTGTGGAACCATCCGAAATCCAGAAAGTAACTCATTAGCAAACCAAAACTGGATGTCTCAGGTTTCACAAATACATTCATAGTGTGAGAATAAAGCTTTGCCTCTGTGTATGTTCAGGCCCTATGTTTGTGAGCACTGCACGCTGTTCTTTGTGAGTGCAATAAAACTCCCTGACTTGTACTTTCTTAGGATTCTGTGGAAAAAAAGGATTGTTTTTAGACATCATCTAGTCTAAAAAACAACTTTGGGGTTTCACGATGTGAAAATAGGAGCTGATCTCCTTAGAAGGAACTAGTCTACAATATCAATGCAAGACATCATCCTGCCCCTTGTCAGAATAAAGGCACTCGTTGTACAGTACAAGGAGTTGCAAATACACTCCAGGAAGAGAAAAAAGCCACATCATCAAAAGAAAAACAATAATACATCAATGACACACTGGTTACAGAATCAAAGAGGGAACCCAGCCTACTTTTGAAATACTGCTGCTAAATACACACACACACACACACACACACATACACACACACACACCAAAATGCAACAGAATTTAACAAAGGAGAAAACTCATACAGTGCCTATAAAAAGTATTCACCCCCTTGCTTTGCCCTTTTATTGATTTTATAAATCAATCATGGTCAATGTAATTTGGCTTTTTTGACAAAAAAGTTGCAAAAAACTCTTTAATGTCAAAGTGAAAACAGCTTTCTGCAAAGTAATATCAATTAAACAAAAATGTAATGTGAAATATGTGATTGCATAAATATTCACCCCCTTTAAAATGACTGACCTAATTCAACAGCCAACTGGTGCTAGTAGTCTCACAATTAGTGAAATGTGTCTCAAGTGATTGTAGTATAAAGAACCCTGTGTCTGGAAGGTCCAGTCACTGGTTATTCAGTATTCCTGGCTACCAGTACACCATGAAGACAAAAGGACACTCCAAGCAACTCAGAGAAAAGGTTATTGAAAAGTATGTCAGGATGTGGATGCAAAAAAATTTCCAAAGCACTGAACATCCCCCAGAGTTCAGTTAAATCCATCATCAAGAAATGGAAGGAATATAGCACATGTCTAAATCTGCCTAGATCAGGCCGTCCTCACAAACTGACCATGCAAGAAGGAGACTAGTGACAGAGGCCACCAAGACACCTATGATTACTCTGAAGAAGTTACAAGCTTCATTAGCTGAGATGGGAGAGACTGTATAACTGTTGCCTGGGTTCTTCAGCAGTCCAACTTTATGGGAGAGTGGCAAAGAGAAAGCCACTGTTGAAGAAAACTCATATTAAATCTCAACTAGAGTTTGCCAAAAGGCAAGTGGTCTGATGAGACCAAAATGGTGCTTTTTGGCCATCCAACAAGACACTCTGTTTGGCGGACACCAAACATTACACATCACCACAAACACACCATGCCCACTGTGAAGCATGGTAGTGGTAGCATCATGATGTTGTGGGGATGCTTCGCAAGAGAACTACGGGTTGGGAGAAGATTTATTTTCCAGCATGATAATGACCCGAAGCATACAGCGAAAGCTACGCAGAAATGGTTTAAAGACAACAAGGTGAGTTTTCTGGAGCGGCCGAGTCAAAGACCAGACCTCAGTCCGATAGAGAATTTGTGGCTGGACTTGAAAAAGGGCAGTTCACGCCTGATCCCCATGCAAGCTAGCAGAGCTTGAGCAGTTTTGCAAAAAAGAATGGAATAAAATTGCAGTGCCCAGATGTGCAAGCCTGATTGGGACCTATTCACACAGACCCAGTGCTGTGATTGCAGCAATAAAAGGGTAACACATCCAAGTGGGTGAATACTTTTTATAGACACTGTAACTTCCATTACAGCAGTTTACAGTCAGTTCAAAATACAAAGCCAATATACAGAGGCACTAGCATTTAGGAATAGCATTCAATATACTCTGATCAAAATAAAACCCACTTCTATTCTATCTAGTCATCAGAACTACAATACAAACGAGAATGCAGGCTAGAATGAGATTAATCCTCTATATTCACAGCTACAAAGTGGTAGATGATCAGTACATAGCAGCTTATTATTTATACATTCCAAATAAACATTTCCAAACATAGCTCAGAAAAAATAAAACCTCAACCTCATTTTTAAAATAGAGCTCTCACAATATATTCCATGTTGATAACTAAAACATTATGCTGGAGGTCAAAGGAGAAATAGTATTGACCATGCTTCAGAAATGATTAATGAACAGTCTTTGGTGCGGAGTGTAGATTAAAGATGCAGCTCTACTACCCACTGGAAATCAAAAACACAAAACCAAAACAAGAAGGCTATGCATCCACCCTGAAGGAATGTATCAAAACTGACAACCAACTTCAATATATGAACAAAGGTTCAACTACACAAATAGAAGAAACAATTACAGATACACCTCTAACACTCATTAGCCCAACAAATATACTGTAATTTAATAGGTCATTTCAAACACTGAGAAACATTTAAAGTAAAAACAATCTTCTTTTTTTTTTTTTTAAATCGATGCCACTCCCAAAATCTAAAAACTAAAATGCATGAATGCAAATCTAGCCTAAAAAAAAATAACTAAACACAGCAACCCAAAGGCTATCAAGATTGTATTGCAGTTACAGTAAACAGTGACAATACTGTTATGTTAAGTACTATAGTGAATAGAAATCAACTATCAAAATATCAAATACCTGTATGTACAGAGAAAGCTCATTCAGTCAAAGCCCTAAATATTCAGCCTCTAGCTAAAGTAAATCCATACTGAGTTAGGAAGCAAAGTCCAACATTTGCCAAAGTTAAAACAAAACCACATGCACTACCGTCACATTTATCCAATAAGCCCATCATAGCTAGAGCCTGAAGGTTAAGTGCTGCAAGCCCATTTGAATGTACAATCTCTAAGCTCCTGAAGTAATCATAGATTCAGGTTTTAAGGCACTAGGAGGTGGTAGCAGCTAAGGCTGCCTGAAATGATGACAGGAGCATTCAATCCTGGGTAATACAAATTGGGATGGCTTATAAAACAGATGTGACCGGCTAGCACATGCTACAAGGCAACAAGAATAAAGGGAAGGGCACGCCGCGCGGCCTCAACAGCAACGACCACAAACAATTTCCAGTCTCTAATTAGGCCACATTCTCTGAACACTAGCTGAACAAATGGCAGGGGGGTAACATGCAATGCGAATTTCTTTGTCCTCAAAACACCAGAAAACATTAGCTTCACTGCTGATACTTGTTTTTCTTTCTCAACCTCTTATGTTATCTGCCCCCCCTCCTATTAACTCTATTTTTGTCTTCATCATCACAAGTGTCCAATTGGTGCTCTGCTGCTTGCTCTGCCTGCCCAGGTTGCAGCACCAGCCCACTTCCCATTGCCCTTCCTCACCAGAAAGTACTGCTGTGGCCCCGTCCTTCTCCTCAGATATAAGAAAAGTGGGGGTGATGACTGAGCTTGGTGGGGCTGAGAGGGAAGCCTGTGTAGGCTACTGGGGAGGCCATGTAAGGGTGAGGAGGGGGTGGAGGTGGTTGGAAAGGAGGCTTGAACTGATGGACATAGCCGGGCTGATGGTGCGGGTGGATGGTTGGGGAGGGGAGGAGCCTGTGGGGGTGAGTGCTGATGCCCAGAGTCACCTGGTGGACTATAGTGCCTCCTTGGGGGTGGGAAAGACCATAACTGTGCTGGAGGAGAGGAGGAGGCTGAGGGGGCAAGATGGGGTGGGGGTGGGCAGCGAGGGGACCACTTGGAGGGTAGGACAGGAGGGCGTGTGGGGGCAGGCCCTGGTTGTGTGTGTGCTGAGCGGCTGATGTGTGTGTGGGGCTGTGCGGCAGGTGTGTGAAAGTGTGTGTGTGGACAGTAGGGGGGATGTAGGCGTGGGGCCGCAGTGGGCCATAGTTGCCGTTCCACTCTTTGTTGTTTGACCTGTAAGGATGCACCTGAGGGAGGGAATGGACAAGCACAATGACAATCTGTTAAAGACCCAGTCTGTTACATTTTCTTTCTTAGAGGCACAGGGCTATCACAAAGACTGAAAACAGCTATCAAAAATCACCTATAGACCCATTTACTGTCAGCAAACACGGACTTTTTTGTGGGCTGGAGACAAAATAATAGGATGGCTAGCGAGTTATGTTGACTTGTTTTTTTAACAATGGCTGAAATTTATCTGAATACGTACAGTCAGACACTCTCACAGACAATGCTTCTGTGATGTCTGAATTAGAAGGGAGGCCCAATGTATTAAACCAAACATTCCCTTTTGCTCCATAAGCTGCATCAACAACTAGTGATAGGACTGCTAAACCCCATGTGACAAACTGATTGCAGAAAAGACGGTAGATATGAAAACACCTAAAGTGGGATTTATGGCCTGTCCAAACTGCGTGTTGGATGGTGGTTTTTGGATGTTATTATTATATTATAGTGATAGACACACATATGAGACAACAGGGAGAAATCTTTGTTCAGGAGAGGTAAGCTGCTGGTGACAAACTTTAGATTTTTACAATCCCTACACTGATGAAGTGAATGAAAATACAGGCTAATGACAGCAAATGTGCTGTGAAACCCATTACACTGACATTTCAAATGTGGTGAGAGGGAACGTTACCCTCCTCTGCCACTATCTAGCTTCAGACATACAGGGTGGGTGAAAACTAGACATTAAAATTGGTAATAAAGTCTATATTTCTGTGTGAAATATGAAATCCTATTTACCATCTACCGTCTATTTAGAGACTGTTTTCATCATGACTCCAGTGATGCTACAAGTTCTATAGCCAATTTTTAATGACTAGTTACTTTTCACCCACCCTGTACAAAGAAGAAAAACTTTAGTTTGACAGTGTTAAATTTAAGCAGAAAAGAGGTTTAAGTTTATTTAGTATATTTTAGACAGCTCCAGTTCGGTAATGATCATATTGTTTGTTCTGTGTAAAGCCCTAGTATCAAACACCTCACCTAACTTGGTCGGAAAGCCAAAGATCCTCTTTCTAAAAATACCGAACCTTTTCAAAAGAATCAGTATATCATCCAGGCCACACAGTCCACAGAGTACGAGTTGAGGCGTTTTCAATAAGCTGGTTTCCTGGGTCAGGAACTGACAGAGACCTGAATACTGTTTATTGTGTTATCATACAACAGCTATGAAATTACCCGAATCAGCTTTCCGCACATTTCAAATGTGATTTTGAACAATTATGAAAATGTGGCTGCTTGAGAAACATCCATACTTTACTTTTTATATAACTGATAGTAACATGTTTTATCTATGGAGGTTAACTGACCTGCCCAAAGCCCAGAGGGTGCTGCTGCTGCCGGGACAGGAGTTGGGTGGATGGGAGGAGGGAGACAGAGGAGGGAGTGCTCTGTGGTTGTCCTACGTGACTGGAGCGTCCTTTGGACCGGGACCAGGACTCTAAGACTGGGACGGAGAGAAGACAGAAGTTAATCAGGGAAGCAGAAACATACTGCAAAAGTAGATGACCTCCAAGACTGACAAAGCAGCAGAGCAAGATAAAAACAGACCTCAAACAACACAGAAGCATGCATGCCAAGAGAGAAAACTAACTGTTCCCCAGAATGCTAAAAAACAAAAAAAACTATCAATGTAGTGGCACCAAACTGCAGGTAAACTGGAAATTCCTGAGAGGACAGTGCAATGCACAGCAGAAGGACAAGATTTGCATTCAGGACAAAAGCAGGCAAACCTAAAGGGACAATAACATCTCAGCACTGGAATACCAATCTTTCTAAGACATAGCAGTAGCTGCAGCAGAGATATGAAGCCAACTAAATAAAAACAGCCCTGTTTATAGACTAGAGTATTTACACACAACAGATGTGACTTGAGAGTTTATGTAATTACATTAAAATGTAATTGCATTAAAACTTGTGTTAAAGGGTTAATCAAACAATACATAAAACCCATTTACAGTTTAGTATTTTATGAACCCAGTTAAATGATCATTTTTGTAGTGCTATGAAAGAATTGTTTCACATTTAAACAGCACCATAAACTAGGCAATAAGATCCATAAAACTGGGAAAGAAAGAGAGAGAGAGAGATTGTTGGCACTCAGAACAGGCACCTGAGGAGCAAAGTTGATTCTCACTCTTTGATCAGTATCAGTGACTGTGTTTGCATGCACTTAAGTAACCAGATTACAGTTAGTTTTCTGAAGTATGCTGATTTCTTAACTGTCACATAAATGGGAAACCTGGCTTCCATAATTTGGGTAGGGGATTAAGGAAACCTTATTTCCCCAGGTAGATTTCTCTGCCATGTAAACATGTAACCAGGTTTCTAATCAGCTTTCTACAAGAGTGCATGTGCAAAAGGCAAGCTCCAAGGTCACTTGTATGCATGTGACTGGAGAAAAACAGGATGTTGTCACTAACATAAACAAAAGATTATCAACATGGCGAGCCGCAGCAAGATAAATGCCAATGGAGACTCAAACCAGCTACTTGTTGGATGAATGAGTTTCATCTCCTATTTGCCATGATTATTAATTTCATGACTAACAGGGCAGCTAATGTTGTGATTTGCAGATAAAACATCACTAAAGAGACCAAAATATGCGCTTAATTGACCAGGTCCATCTTTTTTTATGGGAGTATGCAGGCACACAACAACATCAGGCTTTCCAAATGCGGGCACCTTACCACTTTCAGTGGGCTAGTGAGGATCACATTACCTAGGAGCTTGTGTGTACTGGGGTTTTTGAGCAACCCGATTACTGCTGTGCATGTACACGCATTAGCTGATTTCTGCTGTAACCTGGTTTCTCTCAGTAACCTGGTTACTTAAGTGCATGCATGCAAAGGCAGTCAGTTTTAAATGAACACCTGGGAAGTGGTGAAACTGATCTCCGATCAATGTCTTAGGGAAACTTTTACTGCATGGCAAGAACCAGCACAGAAAACAGGATCTGACCTATACCAAACGAAATGCATCCACCTTTCACCCCCAACCCCTAGCAACCAACACAATGTGCTCAGAAAATAGGTTTACTGCAAGTAAACTCTCCCTCTGCTTTCAATTTATGCAGACATGCTCTAGTGTTGTCATATAAGGAGGGACTTTAGGTACTTAAGCAGTACTTAAGAAATGCTTTTGAAGAGCTGCTTTTAGTTACTTAAACCATTAAGAGAAAAACTCAATTTCACTGAATGCTCACAGTCCACCATCAGCCAGTGGCTGCTCAGATAATGAGAGCTACCAACATTTTACACTTTCTGTACATCATCCACATTAACAAAACTTGTTTGATTTCTGATTTACTCAAACACGCACTAGATGTTCACAAATCTCAAATTAAATATTTATACATGCTGTTTATAACCCCAAATGTGCATGTGTCACAGGCGAGGAACAACCACATCAGCCAATCAACCAAATATGTTTCTCCTTCATCTTTGAAGAACGCTGCTACTAACATAGAGGGAAAGCCATAAAAAGAGTATTCACAGGCAGGCAGGTGTTGCCTGCCATGGATGCATCTCTGAGGTATTAGATTGTAGCATGGTCAGTTCTCTGCTGGTGGCTTTTGATCACCTGTTTAAGCCTCTATGACAACCTACAGGATGGTAAACCCCTACTGCCTCCATATGACCTGCAAAGCAGACACCACACCAAAGCACAGATGACAGACCACATGACAGGTGGCTAGAGGCGGCACATTAATGACATAACAATTCACTGGATGTTAGTACACAAGCAACATTCCATGAAAGCATAGTGACTTATAATGAAAGAGAGGTTAAACCCTAAAATGAGACAAAACACTCTTTAAACACTAGTATGCTTTACAAGATAAATCAGTGAACTTGTATGAGCATTGCACTTCAAAGTATACATGTGCACAACAGCACATTTCCACTAACCTGCTCTTTGGAAACGCTCCTCTAACCCCTGAGTGTTGTTGTTCTGCACCCTCATTGGTGGGACCACCATTGTCCTGACACCACGAGGACTCCTGCGCTGCACTGCAGGGGAGGGCAGTGGTGCTACCATGGCAGCCAAAGGTGGTCGGTTGTTGTGGTTACTGTTGTCAAGATAACAATAGGGGCTGTTGCCACGCACGGAGGTTAATGCGTCAGACGTGGAGGAGCCTTCCACTGTGTCACAACCACTCTCATGACCATCATCCTCAGACATGCTGAATACAGAAGGAACAGACATTAGGTCGACTAGTGTTACAGTGCATTTCTCTTTGTTATGTGAACACATGGATACATGCACAAATGACTACCTATTGGGTCTCTTGCAAGGTGAGGCAGAGGGGCTGGACTGAAGAGAGTTGGAGGCAAAAGAGCTAGTGCTAAGGCTGCTGTCAGGGCTGCTGAGGGAACACACTCTCTCCATCGACATACTGGTGTTTCTGCACGCCTCACACACACACTCCTCTTTACAGCTACAGACAGAAAAAATTTCAGGTTAAACTTTGAGTCTCAAACTAAGTTGAATTCTCAGGGTATCAGGACTAAATCACATTGATCATTGAGATTTTTATAGTGCGTATTCCAGATTTTGCTTAAAGCGGATACTGCCAGTTATGGAGTCTCATTCAGCTACTGAAAACTAATGCCCTGACTTTTTGCTAACACTGCATTCTATCATGCAAAGATCAGTTTTTTGCAAAACAGAGTGAGATTGGCCCAACATCTTTATATGTCTCTAACAGGCTGGTTCACACGGTCTTTGACGATAATCAATTGCTCATACGGCACCTGCGAGTGTCTGCACGCCCCCCTTCATCCTCTCCGTCAGTCAGCTCACTGCGGATGCTGATCACACTGGGAGCAGGGCTTGGTGTGTCACCCATCAGGACTGCTACATCTCGCTGTTGTTGACTGAGGAGCCGTCTGTTAGCATTTGGTGACTCTCTGAAGCAGCTCACTTCTTCCTCTTCATCCTCCTCATCTGTGTTTTGAACTTCTGGTTGCCTGGTTTCCACATGAGGCACCTCCCTCTGAGGCTGCTCCCTTCCTGGCACTATCTGTCCAACGTCGGCCATCTTGGGAGTCCGACACACTGATATGTGTATGTTGCTGGGGTGGGACAGGTTCCTTTTAACACAAAAGTTGATGTATAGATATAAATAAAATGTCATAGCAGTTTAACTTGAAAGACATGACTAAGGTGCAGAATCTCACCTGTTGTGACTGTGTCTGTTCCGTTTATTGGCTGGCTGGGGCCACACAACATGAGCTATACCAATGTTGATTGGCTGATGGGCAGAGAGGGCTGACATCTGATTTGTCAGGAGAGGCTGCTGAATAACTGAACTGTAGTGGGGATGCACTTTCCTTTTAAAGGATGTAAAAAGGAAAGAATAAAAAATATAATGCAGCTTCATGCTTTCAGTAAAATGATGAGTAGAATGCTTTCATCTGAATACAGCATGTAAGCAAGATGATAATTTCCAACAAGAACATTAAAATAGCATTATAACTAACACTTTAAATGGTTAAGCATATACTGTATATGAACAAAAAAGTGTTATCTCCAGCAACAGTCTAGCTGTGCAAATCATTACTGTTTATATTTAAGATATAATGCTCCAACAGAAAGCTAACAGTAACCTGGTTACTTCAGTGTATGTAACACTGAATGCAACAAAAAACATTTTTGACAAGTGGGAAGTCTTAAAACAGGCATTTTCCCAGATTATAGGTTTGGTTGACTCAGAGTTTGGGGACTCACCCCCAGTCACTGATCCTCTGAGGGCCAGCTGTGGTGTCACTGGTTAGGGGGGGTGGAGGTGGTGGTGGGGGATGAGCAGGAGGAGGGCCGACTGGAGTAATCTGCTGCCAGGCTGCTGGAATGAGGAGCTGCTGCCCCCGGCTAGACCAGGCCTGCTACACAGACAGAGAAGGAAAGGCAGAGATAATATGTGATCACCTACTGATCCCCATGACATCTAGCAGCTCTCCCAGCCCTAGGCCAGGCACTGAAGTCAGAAGTTTTGCTGGGGATTTAAAATCTTGCTCAGGGTCTCATCATCAGAGTAGCCACAGATGAGGAGCATGTAGTCTATGTTCCAAATGTTGACTTTAATCTGCCTCTGCCACTCAAAACCTTTCTATTTTGTGTTACTTTTAGCATTTGCATGCTAACAGCTGATCAGTTGCCCTGCAAAATACTCTTTAGTGCAGTTCCAAAATGAACAAATCAGTATATACACTAGCACAATTTGCAGGCTCAATATGAATCAAGTTTACGCTGTTACATACTGACTCCAGGAAATAGTCACATGTTGCACACAGAAGTCAGACACTGACAAAGATTTTCACATTTTCCTGTCTACCCGCCTTTTATATGATGCCAACCTAATTATCAGCTAAATAAATTAAAGCATTTCAATCATAAATAGTGTTAAAAACACATGAGCACTGTGTGACAAAGTTCAGCTTTATGCAGTGCAGCAAGAGACGCGCATTTACCCTCGGGGCACACCCTTGAGTACATCAGTATCAATACAACTTGTTTAAAGTCATTCAAACTCGCGCTGATGTTGGCGTCACAGCTCGTACAGACTCGTTCTGCCTCCACACTTCATCTATCTGTAGCTATTTTTAAGAGCTCTTGTTCAAAGTCATTCTGCTGATGCAAGTATCAGCTCTCATAATAAACTCACTCTCCGTCTACGCTTCCTGTATCTGGCACCAGCTGTGCATGGAAGCGCAGTGTGATACAATCTGTTATATTACATCAGGGGTGGGCAAACGTTCTGACTCGCGGGCCACAATGGGTTCTAAAATTTGACAGAGGGCCCGGGCCAGGAGCAGAAGGATGGAGTGTTTGTGTGAACTAATATAAATGACTTATAAAAAAAAAGGTTTTGGCCTTTAACAGGTAGCAAAGCATGAATATGCAAGACTTACTGTACAAATTATCCTCCAAATGCATTTTTTTTCATAACACAGAGAATTAAACCTTCAGTTTCAGTGGGAACATTGTTGTTGGTCTGTTGTTGTCAAAAGTCTGGAGTTAATTTTGTTGTGGCTATTCTCAGGATAGATCTGAGGTGTTGGTCAGTTAACATGGATCTGTGACTGGCTTTGTTGATGTTCATGATGCTGAATGTCTGCTCACACACATAGGTCGAGCCAAACATCAGCATCTTCTGTGCTGTCCTCCAGAGGTTTGGAAACGTGGCTTCGTTAAGTGAAGCACAAAAATCATTCAGTTTAAGAGAGCTGAACTTCTTTAAAACGGAGTCAGACCGTAGACTGATTAGTTCCAATTGCAGCTCCTGTGGTGCTGTTTCAGGGTCTTGTGACAGGGGACAGGACACCAGCTGAAGTGACTTGTCAATTTATTTTAAAAATCTGAGAACCGATGGCAGAATTCTCCGTGCATTTAATAATATAATTTGGACAAGTTCAGCATGCTGGATTAAAAAGCCTAGCAGCCGTAGTTTGCCCATGCCTGTATTATATGCCACAATTCACCAAACATAGGCTATAAACAAGTTGGTTAACTGCAGCTTATTCACTTAAAAAAATACATGAAAATGAAAATAAACAGACAATAAAACATTCTACAACGTTGTAAAGGAGGATTTAAAAAAATACTTTACTTGTTACCAGTCAGGATACAACATGCCTGTCCTGTAGTGGTCTTATAGGCGCATGTACTGGGATAATGATAAACTTTAAAGTTTGATTCATTTTAACTAGTAACTTGTACGTACACTGGCTAAGACTAACAATCTAACTTCCTGGCACTAATGCTGTTAGAAAGAATCCGGTATGTTTTATGAATACACAAGTTTAGAGAAACCATGTCTGTGCCTTACCTGAGGTATTACACCAGGCCTCACTGGTAGGGGCTGTATGGGAGGGCCCTGAGTCACCATGGGAACAGAAAATCCTGCTGGTTGATTGAGGTTACCTTTAAAACAGCATAAAACAAACCATATGTCATTTATGTCACAGAAAATTTTAAAAACATCTTAGTGAAGGTATAACACCACTCATTTATAGTTAGACACTTTATACTGGAACAGAGTGAGTGATCGCTTCTAAATAATTCTCATAAATCATTACATATGAAATCCTTGTAATAACTCTACTTAATTCACCAATTTAGAAAGTGTCATGTAATGACCCATAAGCAGAGTGCTACATACCTTGCATGGTGGGGGGACAAAGAAGAAAGGCAGGTGGGAATGAGTCACTGCATCCGAACTGACCATTCCCAGTTGTTAGAGCTAGCCCGGGATGCAACACTGACGGAGTTGACTGGGTTATAGCCTTCATTAGTAAAGAGTACAACAGAGCAATGTCAGAAAGAACAGAAGATTGGATGGGGAGGCAGGCAGAACAGAGAATACAGAGAAGAAAGTGGGGAAAATGGATTTAGAAGAAATTAAATGAATGAAAAAAAGAGAACCAAAAATGAAGTGCAGACATTACATAAAGTGAGACTCTTGAGCACAACGAATGGCAGTGTCACATGTGACAAACACCAAGGCCAATATTCTTAGATGATATATTAAAGCATCTTTTCTCCTGAAGAGGGCACCACTAGCACAGAAACATCACGTAACATTTAAAGTTTATTTACATTCTCTGTCCTTAAAAAGCAAAGGGGGTGTCTCCAATAGACTGTGCAGTGGCCATAATTTCCAAATGAAATAATCTCCGCTGTAATGGTGAATGCAACTTAATAACTTTAAAGGCTAAATGGGAATGCTCGCAGTTTTAAAAGATTATCCATGGTTTCTTTGCAACCAAAACACAAAACTGACTGATGCAATACAAATATGGATGCAAAGCGAGCCTTGGTAAGACACAAAAAATGCTAGCTGCAAACACACACACAACTTCAGTGTCTGACCTGAGTATGGACTGGTATGTTGTTGTAGCCCAGTGGGAGACCAGAGGAGGCAGAAGGGGCTACAGGAGGTCTTGAGACATGAATGGTGTTCTGATTGAGAGTGTCAAAAACTGCACTGCTGAGCCGGCCATGACATATGTCCATGATTCGGAAAGAAGACTGCACACTGCAGAGGATAAGAGGAATTGTAGCTGAGTAAGAACAGAACATGTATGACTGAAGTTCATACTATAAATCAACCATAATGTATTAATGCTCTCTTCTGCTGATACAGAAAAGAAAAACCAAAAACATTAGAAAACAAACAAGAATGCACAAGCCAACACATGTTGTGTCCCTGTTAGCTGTGGCGGCCTTACTGGCTACTGTGCGGGTAGTCTAGCAGATGAGTCATGGTGATGAAGGGGTGCTTGAGGACACTGCATGGAAAAATCCGATCCTCAGCATCTATCAGCAGCATGCTCTTCAGCAGAGACACAAACTCCCTCCTGTCAGCCTTCTCTGCCTGCATGTCATTGCTGTCAGGACTCAGCACCAAGTTCACCTGATGGATTTGAACATGCTGCATGTGAAAACCACACAGGGCACAGTTCATGTCACAATTAAGAAACACAGTAGCATTTGAACTAATCAGCTAATATGAGTGTTTTGTGTCAGAACTACTAGGTTTCTGTGTCTCTTGAGATCTGATTATAAAGTATAAACTGTATGTGATTACATTGGAGCAACATTTTTACGTCTCTCTTACAACTCACTTTTGTTCAGCATGGTTTGAATTTGATGTTAATTTTGAAAATGCCTAGAGTGTCTGTAGCTACAAACAAACTGCACTGAGGTTGCACTCACGTGTGCTATGTCATCCAGACAGCTGAAGATGTACTTCCTGGCCTCTTTGGATTTAAGTCCTGTCTCCTTCTCATGCTGTTTTGTTGTCTGGAAGAAGAACAAACTGTAAGAGCCCAGTACAGAGGTCCAGTATGTAAAGATTTCTGTCTTTGCATTTGTGTTGCAAGTTACCATTGAATTTGTCATGTGTAAGGATAAGGAATTATAGCTCAAAGTACTGAATAAAATAAACACTGTGGGTGGGAGAGCAGTGAGAGAAAGTTGTATGTTTTTATGAAAATCTGCAACAGTGTTGGGCTGTTTGTGGTTTTGCTGGGAAGTACATGCAGAGATAAATATGAGACTGACATTAATTAAAAATTTATTGCGAGTCAGCTCAGCAGGTAGTCTAAACACACTTTACTTGAGCTTTCCTCAGGGTGTGCTGGTTTTGTCCTGTTTTAAAAAGATTATGTAGCCATTTCCTATTGAGAATGCACTTCCACTTGCAATAGAATTTCAAATCAGTGTTTTTTTTTTCTTTCCCCAGTTCAAAATCTCATGTTCCCAGTTTATCAGTGTGTCTGCGTCAGCATGACCACTGGCATTAATGATGAAGATCTGTGGTTCACTAGAGGAGGTGTACTTTGTGTCTGCAGGTCTACAACATGTTTTACATACAGTTTGGTTGCTGTGTATGCATATGTGTGTGACTCGTGCAGGTACCTTTAGTCTCCAGGAGGCATAGGGCGAGTCTGAGTCTTTGGAGAAGAATCGAGAAGTCTTGGTCCCCTTATTGAGCAGATGCTCGGCAGGCAGGCCCTGAGTTTGAGAGATGTACCGGATCTGTGAGAAAGAGAGAGAGAGAGAGAGAGAGAAAGAGATGAGAGACAGGAAACAGAGAAAGAGACCAAAAAAGGGAAAGTGGAATGGAAAAATTCAAATCATGGGGAAAGAAATGAAAGCAGATATGGGAATACATGGCAGAAGGTGAATGCATAACACAGAGGAGAAGTGAACAGATAAGTGACAATAGTTTACATTATAACCATTTAGCTGAAAAAGAGATGGTGAATGGAATTCAACCCATTTTACCAGATTAGTGAAAATACAGCTTTTAGTTCAGCTGATGCACTCAAAATAACATTTTATATACAGTATATACAGCTGAAGTCAGAAGTTCACATACACTTAAGGCTGAAGTCATTAAAACTGATTTTTTAACCACTCCACAGATGCCATGTTAAAAAAACAATAGGTTTTGGCAAGAGAAACCATGTACTTTATGCATGACAAGTAATTTCTCCAACAGTTGTTTACAGATAGATTATTTCAGTTATAATTCACTATATCACAATCCCAGTGGGTCAGAAGTTTACATATACTCAGTTGACTGTGCCTTTAAACATCTTGGAAAATTCCAGAAAATGGCTAACTGACATCACTTGAGTCAATAGGAGGTTCACCGGTGGATGTATTTTAAGGCCTACCTTCAAACTCAGTACCTCTTTTTGTGACATGGGAAAATGAAAAGAAATCAGCCGAGAGCTCAGAAAAAATATTAGTGGATCTCCACAAGTTTAGTTCATCTTTGGAGCAATTCCCAAATGCCTGAAGGTACCACGTTCATCTGTACAAACAATAAAACGCAAGTATAAACAACAAGGGACAATGCAGCCATCATACCGCTCAGGAAGGAGACGCATTCTGTCTACTTGAGAGGAACATACTTTGGTCGAAAAAGTACAAATCAATCCCAGAACAACAGCAAAGGAGCTTGTGAAGACACTGGAGGAAACAGGTACCAAAGTATCCATATCTACAGTAAAATGAGTCCAACATTGGCATAACCTGAAAGGCTGCTCAGCAAGGAAGAAGCCACTGCTCCAAGACCACCATAAAAAGAGCAGACTACAGTTTACAGCTGCACATGGGGACAAAGATCTTTACTTTGTGGAGAAATGTTCTCTGGTCCGATGAAACAAAAATTGAACTGTCTGGCCATAATGACCATTATGTCTGGAAGAAAAAGGGGGAGGCTTGCAAGCCAAAAAACACCATCCCAACCGTGAAGCACAGGGGTGGCAGCATCATGCTGTGGGGTGCTTTGCTGCAGGAGCAACTGGGACACTTCACATAATAGATGGCACCTAGAGGGAGGAAGATGATGTAGCTATATTGAAGCAACATCTCAAGACATCAGCCAGGAAATTAAAACTCGGTCACAAATGGGTCTTCCAAATGGACAATGACCCCAAGCAGACTTCCAAAGTTGCGGCAAAATGGCTTAAGGACAACAAAGTCAAGGCATTGGATTGGCCTTCAGACAGCCCTGACCTCAATCCAATAAAATATTTGTGGGCAGAACTGAAAAAGTGTGGGAGAGCAAGGAGACCTCGAAACCTGACTCAGTTCCACCAGTTCTATCAGGAGGAAGGGGCTAAAATTCCAGCAACTTATTGTAATAAGCTTGTGTATCTTTATGCAGCTTTATGTACATCAACAATTCTTGATTGTAGATCTTCTGAATGCTGTTTTTGGCGAGGCATGGCTCACATAAGCATATTTTTCTTCTGTGGAGCAAACTCAAAAGGTTTGAGTGGTTTTTATCAGTCAAAGTAGCTCTAGTCCACACCTCCAAACTCATTTTCTTAACAAGACTCCAGGTATGCTAACACCGGACTCCAATTAGCTTTTTTGAGGTCATTAATTCAAGGGTTCACATACTTGTTCCACTAGCACTATGAGGTTTTTATGGCTGTTCTCAATTAAGACATGAAAGATCAGAATTTTTTTTGTGTTGTTATATTAGGCACACTATATTCGTCAGCACTCTTGACTTAGATGAAGATCAGATCACATTTTATGACAAATTAATGCAGAAAACCATGAACTTCCAAAAGGTTCACATACTTTTTCTCGCCACTTTAACTATCCAATTAACCATTTGATTTGCTCGTCGATGCTGTCACACACCAATCACACCAAACATTCATCCAAACACGGATTGTTGATTGACAGGTCATTCCTTTTGCCAGCTTGCATTGCAGTCTGAGTCAGTCACCTCCATTTTTTTAGTGTATATAACTCACCATTGTTTTTACATTATTTCTCATATGTTGCATAAACGAGCATTAAGTTTATCCTCTTGCAGAACAGTCCCTATACTACATCCATGTTATATACAGCATGGTAACCTCGGCAACAGCTGTATTCTAACATTAGATTAGCTAGCCTTACTAGCCTTGCTAATGACTTACTAGAAGAGTTGGATTAGCCATCTACTAGCCATCCATGAGGCATTGGATGGACCAATCAGAGGCTGTGTATCTGACTGTGAGGCACGCAGGCACGCGAACACACACACACACACACACACACACACACACACGGTACAACAGAGCTATCACTGCTCAGTGAGGGTCAATCAGCCACTATCCCAGCCTGATAACTGTTCAGACTGCTAGTGCTCCTGGAGGCACGAATGACACACCTCCCAAATAAACACTCATAGACAAGCATTAATCTGGAACTCAGCAAAGCAAGCCAGCTATTCTTCAGAAAATGTTAATGAACAAGAAAGCTAGGAATTGGTGTGCACTATGAAAATAGACCTATTTCAAAGTCTGGATTGTAAAGAAGGCCAAGTAAAAGTTTTGGAGACGTTAGCAGATGCCCATAAAAGGCTAAATATAATTTTCTCCCATTATACTAAATGTCAACACACAAGAAAAGCAGGAAGTTTATCCTTTTCCCAATTTTCTAAACTCAGACTGACAACATGATGGGTGTGATTCTGGTCTTTGGAGCTGCCTAGAGTCAAACACAGGATAATCCTGTGTGAATGTGGTGTGGACGTTTTCCCATGCTCCCTCTCCCTCGCTGGGGGACTCCATGTAGAGTCCCAGTTGTGTAGTTTAGACTGCACAACTGTGGGAAGATAATGACATGCTGCCAAGAACAATTTCCTGATTCACCCAGACCAGAGCAGCATTAGGTGGGTTTCCTGCTGGATGTCAGTCACAGTGACAGGCATCAAGGAGCAACAATAAATAAAGGTTTATCAATGTGTGTTGGGTTTTGCCTTCTGGGAAAGCACAGACCTAAACATTTTAAACTTTAGATACACACACAGTAATCTCTGAAAAATGTAATTTCTTTCTGTCCTGTTTACTCCCCCTCACCTGATATATCTTTAGGGTCTCTACATCCCTCCCTCAAAGAGTAAGTGTGTGTGTGTGTGTGTGTGTGTGTGTGTGTGTGTGTGTGTGTGTGTGTGTGTGTGTGTGTGTGTGTGAGATATAGTAGGCTGTACTTGTGTGCATGTGTGTGTAATGTTACCTGGTCATACTCCAGTGCTCCAGGATAAAGGGGCCAGCCCAAGAAGAGCTCCGCTATCACACATCCCAGTGACCACATGTCTATGGCCTCACAAAATGGCAGGCCCAAAATAATCTCTGGAGCCCTGCAGAGAGAAAAGAGAGGCAGAAAAGGTTATGTCTGGAGCTGGTGACCATGTATAATCAAAAACCAAAAAGAGGTTTTCTGCATTTTTATTTATTGATGTTAATGTTAACAGAACTTAAGGTTGTGGTAAATAGGTTTACTTCTTATTTTTTGAAACTATGTTGAGTGCACAAAAATGTAAGGGAATTGAAAAAGAAAACTAATGATCCGTACCAAAATGTGTAATTTATGCATTTTTTGTTAAATTTGATCTCAGAAAATTGGTATTAAAAAAAAGAATTGTTTAGAAACCGGTATTGAAGTCAAGGTATCTGTACTGGTATCAAAAATTTTGGAATGATACCCTGTCCTACTAACACTGGACAACATGATTTCACAAGAGTGGCACTATCACCACCACTTTGTGTGGGATGGACTGAGCTCAAGAGGAGAGGGTGAAGAGAAGTGTGAACCAAAAGGTAAGGCATTTTAGTGGGTAGTGCAAACTGTCAACCAAATACAGTCATGGCCAAAAATACTGACACCCCTGCATTTCTGTCAGATAAGGCACCACTTCTCCCAGAAATTTGATGCAGTCACAAATTCTTTGGTATTCTAATTTTTATTTCTTTTGTTTGCAATGCAAGAGCCAAATCTGAAATGTTCCACACAGAACTCCAAAAATGGACTGGGCAGAATTATTGACACTCTCTCCTTAATATCTGGTAGCCCACCCTTTAGACAAAATAACTGAACTGAACACTTCCTGTAACCACCTCTCTACTGGAATTTTAGACAACTCTTCTTTTGCCAGCTGCTCCAGATCTCTCAGATTTAAAGGGTTCCTTCTCCCAGCTGCTGTTTTGAGATTTCTCCACAGGTGCTCTATGTCTAGATTTAGATCTAGACTCATTGCTGGCCACTTCAGAACTTTCCAGCTCATTGTCTGAAACCATTTCTGGGTGTTTTTTGAAGTCTGCTTTGAGCCATTGTCCTGCTGTAAGACCATGACCTCTGACAGAGACCCAGCTTTCTAACAGTGAGCCCTACATTGTGCCCCAGAACTCATCGATAGTCAGATTTCATAATGCCACAGTGAAGACATCCAGTGCTTGAAGCAGCAGAGCAAACCTCAGCGAACCTCCACCATGTTTGACTGTAGGGACTGTGTTCTTTTCTTTAAAGGCCTCATTTTGTTTGCTGAAAATAGTATAAAGATCTGCTCAATCAAAAAGCTCTATTGTTGTCTCAACTGTTCTAGAAGGACGGTGGCTTCCTCTGGTAAGTTTTGGAACATTCAAACAATCCTTCATTGCAATCTTTCGTCCAGAGATTAGCTACAGCGCCATGGGCTGCAAGCTTCTTGACAATGTTGTGCACAGTGGACACAAGAAGAGCCAGATCTCTGGATAGGTAGCCTGGAGATTGTCCAAGATTTTCCACTATTGTGGTTCTCAAATTCTCAGACAATTCTTTGCTCGTCTTTCTTTTCTCCATTCTCAGTGTGGTCAACATGACACAAAGGTTGAGTCAATCTTTCTCCATTTTTAACTGGTTGCAAGTGTGATTTCTATATTATAAGCACCTGTTGAATGCTACAGATAAGTTTCATTACTAATTAAAGGAGCATCACATGCTGGAAATACAACTGTTTGATGATTTTAAAAAAGGTGTCAATTATTGTGTCCAGTCCATTTCGGGAGTTCTGTGTGGAACGTAGTAGATTTGACTTTTTTCTCTGCTTTTTTTGTGCTGCTCCAATGCAAGCAAAAGAAATAAATATGAGAATACCAAATAATTTATTACTGCTACAACAGAAATACAGGGGTACTGATACAGTATTTTTGTCCATGACTATAAATCAAAACAAGGAGTGACTCTAGGTTTAAAATAAATACTACTGGCATACAGTGTCACCTTACTCAACTTCAGGGGGGTTAGGGTTACCAAAAGTTTGCATCAAATTCATCACTGTCAAATGTTAATCCAAACGGCAGAAGCATTTCAGGGAGGTGAAAACACATGATTTGACAATGATATGCCAGATAACTAGTGCTGACCATCAGAAGCATAATTTGCATTACAAACAGGTAATGGAAACCTTTATTGGGAATGACAGGAGACAGTCTGATACCTTACTTGTAATGAAGGCGCAGCTTTAAAACGGGATTAAACTTAGCTTTCTGTGTTGTATAAACACTGATTAACATATCTATTGCAAATTATTGTTAAGCTGCAGTTATGCTCAACACACTGGACACTGCACATGCGAACTGTCATGTCAGCACAGATACAAAACCATTTATACTCAGACTTGAGGCGCACTTGATTCAATGCAGTCTTCTCTTAAATGCATCCTGTAGCTAAATAGCCAACTAGCTAGCCAGCAGATATCGAACCTACAAAACAGCTAAATGAAGCTGAATGAATGCTTGTGTAGTAGAGAATGTGTGTTGTAGCTTGCTAGCTTTCTACCTAGCCAGCACACCAAACCACAGATCTCTGTACAGACGTACAGATGTGTGTGTGAGGTCTGTCTACAGACCTCACACACACACACACACACACACACGCACACGCACGCACGCACACACACACACACACCCTTGCTGAAACCAAACTGAGAGGTGCATGACCAGCGTAGCGACACCAATGCACACCATGTGCCATCAGCTGTGAAGTTATATTTGCAGTGCGCTGCCAGGTGAAAACATCAGTATAAACTAGGTGTGAGAGCGGAGTTAAACTGTATCACCAACAAGAAAATAATAATGACAATAATCATCTTACTGATGACCACTGATTCGGCTTGTTAATTTAGGTTGGGGTAATATTTTTCTGAACAAAAAAATGAATATAGTAAAATGTTAAAGGATCGTTGTGTTGAGTTTTATTGGAGTGGAAAAAACATTTTTCTTGGGGGGCATTCATGAATCAGAATATAAAAACATCTTATGAGTTGTAAGAGAAATGTTTTATGACAGATTAAAACATTTTTATCAACAAATTACTGGCCTTTTTCAACATTTAAAGAGAAGATGAAGGGAAAAGCTGATGGGGCCTCCCTCATTTAGTTTGGAAATGGCATGTTTAATTGGGTCTGCTTTTCATCTCACCATTTTATGGTTTCTATATAACTCTATTCCACCTCTTAAATTATACCTGATTTAAAATAAAACAAGAGTTGAAAAACTGAATAAAGCTTAAGAATACCAAAGTGCATAGCACATGGCTGTTCCTGCAGAGATTATGGTCTGATAAGGAATAAGTTATTCAGGAATCTCAAACTGAACATTACACCCATATGATGTGCATACAGTTACTAAGCTAAATCTCATCCAACGAATGGACTTTGCCTCTTTACACTATTTAAATGAGACTAGTAGTCTTGTATCAGTTTTGTGAAATGATCTATGAAAACAATAGGCTATCAAGCCTAGACACAGCAGCTGAGCAACAGTGCTGCAAATAGCAACCACTGCTGTGACAACCACAGGGTATGTGACTGTTGCCAAGCAACAACCGGACGCAAGACCATAATGTAACAGCATTACAGGGTGATAAATGGGGCCATTGCTCATCCTTCTGTGTGTAGGCCTGTGAATAAATGTGTGTTTCAATGTGCATGTAAACACACAATTGCAGATGTTCATCACTTTTACAGCACAGGCCATGTTTTCTGTCTTCCGTGACCTGGAGGAGGAAATTACATTGCCATTTCCTATTGTGCCTTCAAGAGCAGGAAGTCAAGTTATGCAATCCCAGAAAGAGCCATGGGAGAAACTGCCTCAAACATTTACAAAACAAAACAGGAAAATGGGGACAAGGATTATGGTTTTCCAGGTTTGTGTGAATTTTAAGTTCCCAAAGACAAATGCATCAGACCACACAACAACTGTTTGGACACCAAGAAAAGGCATTTTTAAACACAGTGTCTTAACCCTATAAAACCATTAGTATCATATTTGCTACACGAGTTTCTGAGCAAAAGAAAAATGGCAAAAATGCCCATGTATCAAATGTGATACAAAAAGTTAAAAATAAATAATATGGCACATTTATTTTTATATGTCTGGACTGTCTGTCTATGCATAACTGGTAAATAAAAATCTTGAACTTTCTTTTGGATTTTGTTAAAAGGTTTAATAAACATTTTAGTTCCAAAAATTTTGAATGTTCTGGCTAGTTAAGCAAGGCTGTAGACTAATAAAAGCATTAGCAACAGCCCCAGCTTTCCAGAGCTGTAACAGCTCATCAATACACATCTAACACACCTACACACAAATACAGATGTTTGACATTCAGACTAGGTTCCAGAACTAACTAGTCAAACTGGAGAAAAGCAGCTATAAAAAGAACAAACACACTGAACGGCAACACTCTGTTGCAACAGAAACAATCACAATTTTCTGGGCCGATTCCAATTTTCTTTCTTTCTAACAACTGTAAATGCAACATACACAGACATTTTTGTAACTTTTCTTTAATGAAAAGTTCCATCCATCTATCCATCTATCCATCCATCCATTTTCTAAACTGCTTAGTCCCAAACGGGGTCACGGGGGGCTGGAACCAATCCCAGCCAGCTGCGGGCGAAAGGCGGGGTACACCCTGGACAGGTCACCAGCCCATCGCAGGGCCATGAAAAGTTCAATTGTAATAAAAACAAGTTTTACATTTATCTTTCACTTGCTTCAACAAACCTTCAACTAACAATGAAGTGCAATATTTGTACATCTCCAAATATAAACAGGTGCAACAGGTAACAGAAACAGAAGATTGTCTGTTACTACTGAGCACTAGTTCTTTTTGAAGTGTGTGCAGTTTGTATTTGCTGCGTTTTACCACAGGTTAGATACTCTGTACATACACATACATAGTAATTCCCTCACTGTGTACTATTTGTCAGAGACTTGGATGTAGTTCTCCCTTCTCCAGGGTGTTTCTGTGGACTGTTTGTACACCAAGTGCTTCCAATGCGCAAGTGAACACACGCCAGTTACAAGCACGAGCCCCACA